TTTCCAGTTAATTGGAGATGTATCGCGACTGTAGCAGGAATTTGTACAGTCATTGCTACTATATATATACTAATGATTTCTAGTGCATAAGTTATTATAGTTTCTAAAGTATCACTATTTATCTTATTTTTACTACTCATTAATTTCCAGAACATTCCGTCGTAAACAAGTTATCTTTTCAAATACATTATTCCGATGTGTTTGTTATCATCCAACAGAATGTCAAATTATTACATCTGGTACAGATAGAAAAATAGGTTATTGGGAGGTATACGATGGTTCATTAATAAGACAATTAGATGGTTCACGAACAGGCTCAATTAATGGCATGGACATTACAGATGATGGTGACACATTCGTTACAGGTGGAAATGATAAACTCGTCAAGGTAAGAAATATTTATCATTTTGCGAAAATGATGACAAAAAATGTTACTACAGTGATAGTATACTTTAGAAAAGTAAATAAACAAAGTAGTTATTTGTTTCGTAATAATAATATATACAGTTAACTTCTCAGTTTATATAGACATGAATCTACCTGAGGTAGAAACCATAGAGGCAGGAGGAATAATTACATAACCAAAAACAATAAACCTCTTAGACAAATTTATGCACCAGAACACCATTTCATCATGAAAATAAAAACACATAATAGCATTATATGCAAAGATGGATAGTGGCTAGCAGTGGAATCCAGGACGCGCGTTTCGTCCTATCAGGGACTCGTCAGCTGTATGTACCTGCATCTCTGCATATAATGCTTGTGAATTAAGGGTATATCGAGGTAATACGCACACATGCCGATAAGAGACTGATCATTTGCAGTCCTAAACATCAACAGGAAGATTCAAACAAACAATAGCAGGTGAAGATAATAGCGTTATTAAATTTTAACTGAAAGCTGTCAGAATATATCTATTCGTTCGATGGTCGATTTAACGAAACCAACAGATGTATGAAGATAATTTATCAGTAAACATTTAATAAAAAGTTTGACTTTTAGATAGGCTAAATGTCTTATCAAAGCAGCTTGCTAGAAAATAACACAAAAGTAGTAATAAGCGTGATTTTTGTAAGCAATTAGAACTACATTTGAAGTGAATATGTTTGACTGCATATTTTTTAAATGCCAGTCAGCGTTTGTTCTTAACAGATTGTTTATAAGATGTGAATGTAATTCTTTGACCAATAAATACAAACTGTCTTTTATTTTATGAAAATCAAAATAATTTGCTTACCATACAAGACTGGGTAATAGAATATGGTAGTTGCCTACGCTTTAGTTTTCATTACATGTTGATTATCATGCTTACCAACAACTTTGAATTGTTTACGTGAGTAATTTCTAATTACTACCCAATTAACTGCTGAATGTTTATAATATTATTTGTTGTTCAGTATGGTGAAGACATCACGAGTAATACTGGTAAGTGAATACATGAGTAGACAGAGTATAATCGGAATGACAATCAAGTGTTCCTTCGTATTAAGTGATATAAGTGTAGAATTTCCAATGTAGAAGACATTGTGATGAGGCGTGCAACACTGATGATGGAATTCAATCACATCATTGTACATGATACAATTCAACTGGAATTGATTGAGGAGTTATAACATAACTATTCAATACGGAATATTAATCCTTCACAGTGGTTGTACATAAGATAGTTTGCCTCTACTTGAGGGAAAACCACCAAATTAATGGCTTTTTGAGTAAGATTTCGATAGTATTCTTTCCTCTATAGTGTTAACTATATACTAATTATGACAAGAATGTAAATCTTCATATTTCTCGAAGGTAACCTGTTTAAAGGTCAAAGGGTTCGTCTATTACAGAAAGGAATCGCAGAAATAACGTATGATTTGATAAACAGTTGTCAAACATACGAGTTAATTTACGACATTGCAGTTTGCAAATATAAACCAATTATTTAACACCTTACCTTTAAGACGTATATAGTTCATCAGTTAAATCATATTTTTAAAAAAAATATATTAATCATTGACATAAATCTACAATTCAGGTCTGGAAGTACAATGAAGGTGAAATAACCCATGTAGGGCTGGGACATACATCACCAATAACAAGATTACATATATCACCAGATCAAAAAAGTATTGTCACGGTCAGCGAAGATGGAGCTATTTACATTTGGGAAATGCCAATGATAAATGGGACAAACTAGACTTTATCAAGAGGAAATAACTTGATGAACTATGGAGTACATGCACTAAAGAACTCATTTTAGTCTATCATAACACACAGCTTGATTGCATTGCTCTGAATATTTATCTTTCTATTTACAAACATATCTATAATACTGCTCACGAACATTATAGGCAAATTCTATGCATATAGGAATTTTTAAAAATTGATTGCGCATTAAAATAAACAATTTAATGAATAATTCTTTGTGACTTTACCTAAAAAGGTGTACGAAACAACTAATGTGGTGAAAGGTTTGTTCGTAACCTTAAACAGAATAATCTGAGTTTAGTTAAATAGGGTATACTGAGTGAAGGATTACTTATTTAGTATACAGTTAACTGTTTAAATTCGATAATTTTGACTATATTCTCATGAAAAAGCTTGGATCAGATTGCCGAACAAAATGTTGGATTTACTTGAAATTCAATCGTTGAGATTTTACAAATATATTCTTCCTCCTTAATGTCTTACATGGAATTGGCGCCCAATTACTGTGAAACTGTTAGTTTAAATTTAGATGAAAGTTCTTATATATACTGATAATATGGTGTGATATTTTTAGGCGTACAAATGGGAATTACTGTCAATAAGGAATTAAAACTTGAACTTTACACAAGTGTTATAATGTAGAACGATGGACGATTAAAAAAATTATGTACATTAAAGATAAGGAGGAAAACGAAACATAAAGGAATTGAAGAAAACTTGGATTACGACAATGAAAGCAATTGGATTAATTGTTTCTGTACATAAATAGTTGACTTAAGATTATGTAAAATTAACGCTTCCATAATGAATAGGTTCAATTTAATTACATACAACACAAAGACAAACAACCATTCAGTCGTAATCAACATAAATCATAATACTAAAATAGAGAGTAGCTGCGAAAATATTTGCTTAATGTATGCTCTGAGTGCGAATGCATACGTTCATATAATATAATACAAAGTATAGAGAATGAAACGTTACAATGATAGAACAGGATGTTTTTCAGAAACACTGTTACATAAAGAGTTAGTCGTAATTTATTGATAATTATGAGACAAAAGGGATATGCACTTTTCTCAAAACGTCATAAAAGTGTTTATATTTTATTTTACTTGTATAGAAATATTAGATAATAGTTCATGGGGTTTAGCATATTTGCATGTTGAAAGTCAAAATAAGTCAATTTAAACAAGCAACTGATGTAAAAAAACATTATATTTCAAATAACAGAATCCTGAGGTGTATACTGAAGTATGAACCCGACCGATAGCTTGCAATGATCGATATGATGTAGTCCAATAGATTTTAGTCGAGATCATGAACTGACCAATGTTAGACCACCACTAGAAACCTAATAGCACTGGAAGGCCGTTTTGTCCTAGTATAGGACTCTTCATCGGTGTGTATCCACGATCCCGTGCGCAGGACTCGTACCCCGGATCTTCGGTCACGCGCGAACACTTGGCCTCTAAACCAACGGTGTTAATGTCTAACTTCATCCAACCGACGATAGTGCTCGGCCAACTCAGCAGTCTCCACAACTCTATACTGACAATAGATATTATGATTCATCGGGCTACTTTTTAAGACGTCTATAAATTTTGTTACACCTGTCAAAGACCATAAAATTAAGTAAGTACACCGGTAGCTTATCCTTTGCTCACAAGTGTGCCAAAAGTCTTTTAATTTAGGATACTCGTGGTGAGAACGTGTATAACGCTTGAAATAACAATTAAGGACCTCATCAGTTACATTAACTTCAAACGTCAGAGTAATATACGCAAATATATATCTATAATGGACACAAACAATGTTTAAATAGCTGTTACATGTTCAATATTTTTATGTGTACAACGTAAGGGATGCAAATTGTCCATGGCATTGACTTAACGAGTCAAAAAATTAAATCTGAGTAAGATTCTCTAGTTCATTAAGTGAAAGTAGGGATTACAAATTTCTTCAGTTTAATAAAGCAAAGTTTGTATGTGAATTTCTATGCACATGAAGCTTCTGGATATACTTAAGTAGACAACTTTCAGTATGGGGATTTGTAGAGATTGCAGCATTTTCACAGTTGAATTCACGAATCGATCTAAGCTAGATCATCACTGGGAACCTGGAAGAACTGGACAGCCGTTTCGTCCCAGTATATGACTCCTCAGTAGTGTGCATCCACAATCCCACACGCGGAACTCAAACCCGGGACTAGTAGTGGTATAGCTTAGATCGACTCGTAAATTCAACTGTGAAGATAGCTTTCATCTGCTGAATGATCTGTATTTGAAAATCAACACAATAGTTCATAAAAGTTTTTATATTTCATCACCAAAATTGATATCAAGTAAGGGAGAGGTATACAAATTAAATGAGAGTAAAATTTATTCATGCACTCTCATGTAATCAATCAAACGTATATAGTATAACTAGTAAACAAAACCCAAAAAAGCAGTACAAGAGACCATACTACTCACTAAGGTGACAGATAAGACAAAGTAACTAGAAATTAAAAATTATTCAGATCAGAATAGTAGTATCAATATTTCAGTAATCATGCGATCATTTTATATCACAAATATATAACTATTAACTAATGAAAAAAAAAGAAAACTACACAGAGCCGATGAAGGTTATTGGCCGACAGTTTAAACAATAGTTCAGTAATAATAGTAATAACGGTAATTGTTATTGATAGTATCAAAATTTTCTACTTTAATATTGTCTTACTACTAACTATCAAGAAATTGATTAAATCAAATATAAATATTAAATTTATTCATTAAAATTGTCATTATAATTACGATTGAATTCATTAAGATTTTCCGATTGTTTTCTTTATTTTTTCCCTGTGGCAACCATGATTTTACTTTCGATGATTTTTAATAAATGCAATTAATCCATTTGTTGAAGAGTCATGACTAGTAACCAGCTCATTGGTAGTTAATTCTGGTTGAATTTTCTTGGCTAACACTTTTCCCAGCTCCACACTTTTATGATACATAAAAGAGAAAGGAAATTGTTTTTAATTGTAATATTTGAAATTTATTAGAAGTCTACATACACATATGATTATAGAAGTATAATAAACTTAAAGTAAAATAATCATTGTGATTATCTAGAAGCATCTAGGCATATTTGAAGTAATAACAATGTGTACAATGTTCACTAGTACAAGTATTAACAGTTGTTGATGGTTGTGAATAAAAAATCCCAGTGTTTAATCATTTGATCAATTACCAGTATTGGGTTGTGGAGATTACTGGGTTCTAATTAAGATCATGAACTGATCAATATTAGACCACCATTGAAAACCTGGAAGCACTGGACGACCGTTTCGTCCGAGAATGGGACTGCTTGGTAGTGAGCATCCACAACCCGGAGCTCGAACACAGGACCTTCGGTCTCGCGCGTGAACGCTTAACCTCTAGACCACTGAGCCGGTACCCAACGGTGTTAATGCCGGACTTTATCCAATACATGATATTGCGAGACCGAAGGTCCTAAGTTCGAATCTCGTGTGCAGGAACGTGGATGCGCACTACTGAGGAGTCTCGTACTAAGATAAAGCGACCGCCTAAACATCACAGTTATGCTTTTCTCCTTTCTCATTTTACATAGAGTTTGACGCTTTAACATACTATTCAATCTCTACTATTATTTTTGATAAACAAAACTAGTAAACAAAACTTTGGTATTAGATAGAGAATAGAATTATTCACTGAATTTTAACATAAATGTGTGCATACGTACGTATTCATCCATTTCCGAATTACTCCCATCTCATGGACTCACGTTCCTCTACTAAAAAAATGTGGTGTCTGAATATGATCGGATAAGGTTTTAGTGTAGATTTGCTCATTAAACTCTATATTCTCCAACAATCTCGATTATTATGCTGAAGAAGTCAAAACAAAATTGTTGGACGAAGTGTCGGAATTATTTAAATTTTAATCGCTGCGATTATTTCAAATACGACTTTTGCACTGTGTACTGGGATAGTTTTTCTCGATGGACAATCTTTATTTGCTACTGTCATATGACGAAGTAAGAATTAAGCCAGATAGTTACACGTTAATTTTATGGAAAAGTTAATGGATCTCATATGTTGTAATCGTTTATATATTAAATGACGTCTAATCCTGTTTATTCTTGAATTCAGTTATTTGCAGATAAACGCGTTATTCAATGAAAAATCCCCGACTCCAGTAGGCAGTTGAATTGGCGGCTTATGTCAATAGTTTAATGGCGTCAGCAGCCATCGAGTAGCATTCTTCTCTTGAATTTGTTGATGAAATCACGATTCATCACACTATTTATTTTCATTTGTTTGTCTTTATATCGAATGACTCGCTTAATTATGCTATGAATAATTATTAGCATTTACATACATCGATTTACGGTAGTCGATAAAACTTTATTTATGGTTATTCACAATGGCTGAAAACAAGAAACGACATTGAATATCAAATAGTTATTGATGATGCTACTCATTTCTCAAGTACAGATTCGTGTACTCAACTTTCAGCAACACTTTTTATGTGAGAGCTAATGATAACATTCAACTGCCCAAGCCGAAGTAGGCTGGGTGGGACTCAATCTTGCGACCTAGTACTTGAGTGTCAGACATCATAAATAAGACATTGTTCCACACTATTATCCAGTTAAGTGTAATTAAAAATAAACATATCACATAAATCAACACAATATACATAGATAAAGTCATAACTTACCCCCATTGATCAAAAGAATTAATATTCCATATAATTCCTTGAACAAATATCTTATGTTCATACATAGCAATCAAAGCGCCCAAAATATATGGTGTCAATTTGGTGAACACAATGGAATTAGATGGACGATTACCCTTGAAACTTTTATGCAATGCAAGTGAATTTAATAAGTCGCCAGTAACTCCAGCAGCAAACAATTCCTTATGAACTTCTTCTTTTGTTTTACCAGTCATTAAAGCTTCAGTTTGAGCCAAAAAATTAGATAGGAGAATCTAAATAAGTAGATAGAATAAAGAATTCTTTAGAAAATACTTAGGAATGTTGGTAGGTGTATTAATTGACATAATACAATTATCGTCAATCACAAAGAGAGTTAAAACATTATATGAAATCAAACGTTTCAATAACTACAAGGAGGAATCAAGCAAAACAGAGTTTGAGAATAGACAATTATTATGCATAGATCTTTTGAGGTTAGCATGTTTATTATAAAGTCTAAATATATGTTTGTTGTATATATGTATGGCTTACATGAATGTCCTTAATTATTTTTGTTAAAGCGCAATACCTTAAAGAACTACTGGCAATTCGATGAGATCAACATTAGTTTGACAGATAAGATTCATAATTCTAACGACAACTGTTCTAGACAATGAATGGAGACAACTTCCTTTTTCTTGCAGTAGCCCCACAAGTAGTCCAGAGGAATTTTTAAGGCATGTTGTGTTCTATGTGCTGGATGATTTAATCATGAAATCTTCATATTCTTTATCTGACATGAGAACACAAATAAACAAATAAAAAAATAGCTGATGAAAACATGCGAAATTCTATAAAACTAAGTACATATTTTCGAGGGCAACGACTGCTCCCCACCCGTTAGTTTTACGACAGAACACGAAAACAAAACATCTAGAGAGCTTAGTGTAATAATAATAATGTTATAATATAATGATATTATAATAATGTTCGAAAAAGATCATGTAGTATAGAAAAAGTATCGATGTTTCCAATCGTCCTTTAGGACTAATTGTTTCTTGTTATTAACCTTAGACTGATTACATAAGCAAAATCTGCGATCGGAAATGTATTGTACAAATAACTTGAAACCAACTCTATCTGCTCATTGCATATTGGCAATTTATAAAAAGGCACTGATGTTGTGAACATTTTTCTGTTTGATATGAATCGAAAGTTTTTATTAATTTTGAATGGCATTTACAAAGTGAATACATTTTGAACTTAGTTGAATTAAAGGACTTTTCGTACAGAAAGACAAAACAACTGCTTCAATGTACTAAAAGCATGGGAAACCCAATAATTGACATCAGCCCATGAAGTCATCGACTGTTGGCTTAAGTCAAGTTGGTTGATGCAGACTAGTCGATTGAAGTTCTTGCGATAACAGTGATCAGTGGTTGGAGGCGTTGGGTGACATGATACAGATTTAATCATTCCTTATATTTGTTTAGACCATGATATTCAGTATTCATATACACAAAGTCTTTTTCAGTTATTAGTCTTGCACATTATCAATGCAACTAGATCATTTGGACTCATTTGCTGTTCATTATGTTAATATTTTTTATATCGTCCTGATGTGGTATAATAACTTAGGCTAAAGTATATTTGCTCCGGATTCTACATTGCTTATTTTTATATCCTAGTGAAGATTAAATTACGAGTAAATTCTGAGAACTATTAATGGACTAATATTTTATATATATTGTTATTGTATAACTATTCAGTAACTAGACTGTGTATATCTACATCCCTCTTATAAGCTTCATTTCCCCCTATAAATTATTATTGTACGATTTACTGTACTTAAGTTATGTTCAGTTTATTGATTACTGTCTCCCACGCTCATAGCCACTTTTGGCCTTGTTTTGTATAGATGTTATTTCCTATTTTATGGTGTGAAGCGGTCTGTTTGACTGGTACATAAACCAAGCATGTTTGAAATAAAGGGTTCACATAGCGGAAGCTATTATTGGTGTTCTGGATTCAACTGGATCAGTAAGGACGCTAAGCTGATCAGACCGATCGAACGTCATTGGTTTAGTACAATGCAAGAGTGAATAAGTCGTATTTTGACTGGCGAATAAATCACATGATAACTAGCCGGACTTAAAGTCACAAAACTTATGACTAGTTGATAAAACCTATTCCAAAGAGAAAGTTTTGGAGTAATGAATATTTTATTTATTTTTATCACACTAGTTTTAACGGTTAAATGTAATGTGTGAAATGGAGATGTCACTTAGATTTTTTAAACTGGAAACAATACAGTGTGATTTGAACAAGGAGTTCAGTTATTGATGAACTGAATGCCTAATGCAATTTTTAAAACAGAGAGCAATTGTGTTGTGAACAGATTTCGTTAAAGGAATGTATTATTATTTACAGTAGGTTTAAAAGATACAAGTGTTTCGTCAGTGAAGATTTGTTTCCATAAGAAAAGCGAATCTTGTGATAAAGTAATTATGAATGTACTAAAATTTACAACTACATGGCTGATCCACCAAATGAGGCGGAAGTTCGCAAGGAACGCTACAAATCACCGGGTCCAGATGACTTACCTCCGGCCCTTTCTAAAGATGGTGGTGACGTTTTGGTTATTTGCCGACGCTGGGACTGGTTGGAAAAAGCGGAGAGGTGGTCAGTGTATGACATGGTGTCGTAGTATGATAGCTGAAAAGGGCTGGCTTCTGTTGGTCCTTCCTCCCTGGGTGGGGTCCGAGAGATGGTGCAACACAGTGGCTAGAGACGTTATCAGATATGGCTCAGAATAGAAGCCAGTGGCGACCCTGCTGTAACCTTCTTTTAGTTTCTTCACAAACAGTGACCGTAACTTCTTTAACTGTAAGAATTCTTTCTGGGTGTACCTTTCTGTTTCCCCCATTATTATTACTATCTCACTACCATACGCCAATTTGTGGTCATTATTGTTCCTTTTTTCTTTTTACACGCACCTTACATCATTTATCTCTTCCCATTCTCATTATTGTTGTGCTGCACATTTGTATCTGGTGCCCCCTTATACCAATATTTATGTGTTCAAATAAATAAATACAACCAAATATTTTTCCCAGTGTAGCTATGGAATTACCAATACTAGGTTTATTCTGTGACGGACTGTTATATACTAAGACACTCAATTTGTATAATGTACATTTGACAGCCATTTACCTTGAACAAGTGGAAGATAACAAATATTTAAAACTACCATAGATTTAACTATAAGACCTGAACTTCCTTGTAGTCCGTTTGATCATTGTACAGAATGTGGACTACTAAAATAGGGTTGATGAGGATGTATAACAAGTCGACTGGAGGAATACGCAAATGAAGAAGCAACCGAATCGTGGTAAATATACGTGTTTTGTTATTTTCGTGAACCTCGAGAAATTTACTGGCATGTATTTATTACTAACTCACATTTTATAGTTGCAGAAATGAAGTGTCTAAACTACTTTTTGGTTTCAAACAAATTAGCTGGAACTAATCCCAGAAAAAATTATTTCGGAGGAACTCATATAACTGTAAATATTAGCACCATACATAAATACCGCACTAACCTCATGATGTAAGCCACCTTGAACTGGATTGTGTGTATGTACTGGTATCAAGAAATCACATGGGATTAACCGTGTGCCTTGATGAATAAGTTGATAAAATGCATGTTGACCATTTGTTCCTGGTTCACCCCAAACTATGGGACCAGTGGAATAATCAACTTCTTTGCCATCACGTCTAACAAACTTTCCATTTGATTCCATATCACCTTGTTGGAAATATGCAGCAAAGCGTGACATATATTGATCGTATGGTAGAATCGCTTGAGTTTCTGCCCCATAAATATTGATATACATTACACCTAACACAGCTAGGATGACAGGAAGCTATAAAGTAAAATATATTTATTATTTTGCAAAACTACTTATATAGTTAGACATAAAAATGATACTACACATGGTAAGTGAACATAGGACTTCAGAGAACAAAATGTTACGGTTAACATGTTTACTTTTAATTAGAAAGCCATAATAATGTAAAAATGAACGTGAAGAGATGGGGTAGTATAAAAACTGAAAGCTGGTGATATATCTAAATGGCCCGTTAACTTTAAAAATTTACAAACGACGGAGAGTATAATAGCAACTTATGAATCATTTTAACCTTCAAATTATGCAACATATTCTTATCCGACAAAAAATATACATTTTCAAAGACCAAGCTAGGGAAGGATAAAGAAAATTTAAAAACACACAAATATAAATGAAGCCAGTAGTTCGTCTGTCAAATTGTTGACAGGTAGCCATCGCTATGTCGAATAGCTGTTGATTAAAGTTTAATCATTTATTTTTTGACAAAATCTATTTAGAAAATATTGGTGCTACTGAAGGATTTACATTCTTGTCATAATTAGTATATAGCTAACACTATATAGGAAAGAATACTATCGAAATCTTACTCAAAAAGCCATTAATTTGGTGGTTTTCCCTCAAGTAGAGGCAAACTATCTTATGTACAACCACTGTGAAGGATCAATATTCCGTATTGAATAGTTATGTTATAACTCCTCAATCAATTCCAGTTGAATTGTATCATGTACAATGATGTGATTGAATTCCATCATCAGTGTCGCACGCCTCATCACAATGTCTTTTACATTGGAAATTCTACACTTATATCACTTAATACGAAGGAACACTTAATGGTCATTCCGATTATACTCTGTCTACTTATGTATTCACTTACCAGTAGTATCCATAATATCTTCACTTTAGCAGGTGATATCTGCTATACTAAATAACAAGCAATGTTATTATAAACACTCATTTTAGTGTCATAACTTACGTTGGTCACCGAGCTTCGTTAATTCAAGTTATATTATCTCTGGTCATCATACATTAAACGTCTTATATTGACTTAGATCATGACCTCATCAACAAAATATCTGGCATTATAGTTTACAAACTATTGATACATTTACTAATGATGGACAGATACTCGAAACGAAAATAAAGGTAATCTGTTATTTATTTGTATCTATTTGAATATAAGTTTGGTGAATTACTATCGGATTTTTGATAATAAAATACTTAATCTATACATTTTTATAATCACACATTAATGAACGTTGACGAATAATTACATGAAATAACAATAAATACTATATACATTATACTGATTTGACAAGCTTACTGACTAAAATTAAATATATGAAATATATGTTAACGATTCGTATAATATGATAAAGTTAGCAGTTTGTAAATGGGACAATGGTTAACTAAAAATCATTTTGTTAAATTCAACTTAAACTAAATTTTATATATTCTAAACTATATTAACCCAGTGTATCAATATCAAAAAACACTGTTATTCACATTGATATTGAGGTTGGAGTTAATGAATTTTGAAATAGGTTAAAAGATTGAAAGTTAGTAATGTAAGAGAATGACAAGTGGGTTTGAATGAATACTCATACAACACATTATTGGGGTGTGGCCACCTAAGAAAACCCCCTGCTTCGGTTTGGGTGCCCAGACATTATTCCAGACCTCGCACAAATCGAATGATGAAGTCTGGCGCATATATATTTGGTGCCTACTTGTACCGATGTTTATGTGTTTGAATAAATAAATAAAGATTAAAATACATTAGCTCATTTTAATTCTGACATACATGTTTTTATACCTAAACGCGAAATTCATGATTTGCGTTCCTTGTTTCATCGTAATAGGGTTATTAGAAAAATAAATTTTGGAGAAGTTAACTATTCAAATATAATCTGAAACTCAGTTCTTTCTTAATGCACTGGATTCTCTAGTGTGAAAGGAGAGTTTTAATAGAATGTAACAACTCATCACTTTCAATAAAGTATTATTTCTTCACTAACAAAAGTTGTGATCATCAGCTGGTAGATTATTTAAACCAACGTCCTGAATCAGAGTTCCAACAATATTAACACCGTGAACAAGAAACACATTACATCGGGGATTGGAAGCAAACATCAAAATAATGAATAGAATCTCGAAAGGATTTTCCAGGACAGAGTTAGATGGAGAATGCTGGTGGGCAACCAATGCTCCTTCACGAGTGGTAATAGACGTAAGTAAGATTATCTATCAAAGATAACCTATTAAGAACTATGTGACATACTAAAACATGTATGTTTTTATAACGCTTTGATACCAATTTCGGCTGATAAAAATGAAATAATCAAACAATTGGAGAGAATTTTGCGTAAAAGAGGAGTGATGTGAAATTTAATTTTAAAGATGGTCATCTTCATATTTGAATTTCGAAATACTGTTTATTTGGTTGGTTTTGTGCACTGCTGTTTTGACTACTTCTTAATCCTTCGCTAATATAATAGTTGCAGGAACGATACAGTCGTTTTTTGTCAAGTGAATTTCAAGAAAAACGTCTCGCTTCTTTAAAAGCCATTAGTTGGGGGTTATTTTCAGTATATTCTAGATGATTATAGAATATAATGACTTTATAATTATTACACTATTGCATAAGAAAAGCGTTACTTATAATTTATGTAGTTTTAAACTGACTTTAATACAAATAAAAATTTTGCTCTCATATTTATCCTTATTATTTAGGAATATTAGTTCACACATAATTTACTCGGAAGAATAACAATTTAGAGCAGCATTAATAAAGAAATTTATAACATAACAACTTACGTTTTTATGTAATGGCGTTTCTTTGAAATGTTTATCCATTTCATGAGCTCCTTCCAACAATTTAATGAAATTCTCCATACCTTAGTAGATAAAGAAAGTCTATACTACTACATATGCGCAAGTTACAAGCATACATGTTGATTGTTAGTGCTTAATCAATAAACGAGACAAAAATAAAAAGCAATGGGTCAAGGCGATTTATCTGGTGAATATTCAGTTTAGTGAGAGATTAGTAAAATAAATGTCTTGGACAAAAGTAAACAGTCACCAAGACTTCTATAACTTGATTGATCATGGAGAAAACGTTGATAAGTATGGTCGCTTATCAACAACTTTTAAAATCTACAACAGTCCAAATTAATTCTATGTAAGGACTATTTTGGTTTAACATCGAATTTTATGAATACAAATTCATGGCAAATTGTAAATGAAATGTATTGTTTGAGAGTAAATTATTGTATTCTATGTGATGAACATTTAATTCTACACCGAAATTGTTTAGACCATTAAATCACAACTTCGTACGAAGAGATACACAATATTAGTTTAATAACCAATCGGATTATAAATTATAACTACATAACAACTTACCTACGTAAAGAGCTATAGATAAACCTATGGCAGACCATAATGAGTAACGACCTCCAACCCACTACAACAATTAAAAGAAGACAGAAATTTCAGTTCATTCATAGAATATAGAAGGATAAAAGTTGCGACGAAGGAATTTTTCAAATTGACGGATGTTCATATAAATTATTTTGAAGGTAACTGAGAGTATCTAATTTACTCGTATTCATAATTATAAGACAACTAAATGGCACTACGAAACAACTAATCTGAGAAATCCAAGCCGGTTTCAGACCTGATTGAGAAGTTAGTGACCAAATAGTTACCCTCAGACACAGATATATATACCAAGCCCCGACTGTGGTCGCTATCTCCGAACTAAAGGCAACATTTGATTCCACTGACTGATAGGCTTTGAAGAAATTTTTATCATTGAATGGAATTCAAAAGAAGGATATAAACCGTTTTTTGTTTAAATACTGTTAGTCATTCCGAGTTTATGGATGCATCTCACTTGAATTGGCTCCGATGAGGAAGATTGGAAATAATGATTGTACTGTGAAACTTTGGGAAACAATAAAGAAACAAAATCGTGCGTTTGACAAGGAACCAAAGCCTTATTTAGTACACAGGCCTGGTTACTATAAATATATATCGACGGCTTAAAGATACTATCGAAATTACAGAAATACTGAAATATGCAAGTTACTTAAGAAACTCTCAGGATAATATTCAAAGTACTTTGAGGTAGACTTACATCCCAAAACTCAAACATGTTTTCCGGTGCTATGCCAAATTTGCAGACTTCTGTTGCATTAGTTGATAAGGCGACAAAGTGCTTGGCCACGTGAGAAACCTGTAAAAGCAGGTAAGAGATAAACAACTTACATTACTGTTATAAATACTATATGATGTCACTTTTAAGTATTATGTTGCATCAAATCTATGAAGTATTATACTCAACCAACATCAGATAAAAAATCACCTAACACCGAAAACTGATTATTTGAAAACGAAATTTAACGGGGAATCCTAATACATTACCGGTCGTTACCTACATTTTTCGCATGTTCTAAGAACCATTCTTTGGCAGAATTAGCATTGGTCATCGTTTCAATGGTAGTGAAGGTCTAAAAAGAAAAAAGTGTTTGGTTAGAACACTTACACAAGCCATAAAATTAAAATAAGTGTGACGATCTAAGCTAACATCCAGATCGGAACACAAACAAGAAAGAAAACCTGAGTTCCAGCCATCAATGATTTTATGGAGAAATAGAATTGGTCGATTGCCATTAACGTAAACCCCGGTAAAAATATGTTGCCCAACTTGAAATACCACACTAACAAAGGAAATGAAATGATGTAGGAACAATAATGTTGAAAAAAATTGAGGACTGGGAATGCGGGTTAAGGGGAAGAAATGGAAAAATAGGACCTACGTTACATGGGTCTGTGTCACTGTGATTTAAGGTGAACCATGCTACTCGTCTCCAGACAATGAATGCAGCTATCACACAGACTTCAACAAGGTAGTCTGCATCTGCTAACATGGTAAACTAACCGTTAATGACTACATGAACTGACACATTTCGGTTTGACCGCCCTTAGCTGTTTTTTCAATCTACTCCCACACTGGCCCATATCGAGCATCGAAGGTATTGATTCGGCATACGTCACACACGTTCTAAACGCCTTAGTCGATGAATATTTGAAACCTCAACAACGCATTTTCCATTTTTGGCTAGGTTATCGGAAAACAAGTAAAGGTTTAATAATAATATTTCAAAATTATGTAACGAATATGAAGTGTCAGACAATCAGAGGATACCTACCTTGGAGGCGATGATAAACAGAACTGTCTCTGAATTTACTTTCTTTAATGTTTCCGCAATGTGTGTTCCATCTATATTTGAAACAAAATGTACCCGAATATGTGATGCATAAGGTTTCAAGCATTCTGTAACCATGACTGGACCCTGAAAAATCAAATTAAACAAAACTAAAATATCGTACTGCTAGAATTTTATAAATCATATTTAACATACCAAAACCGAAGAAAGCAAAATACCTAACTATTTCATATTTATAGAGAAGGCTACGAGATCCTCCAAATGTGATTGCGTGGATGATACTACACACTCCTGATACCTGGATAAAGAGGAATAATTTCTGGCTGTGGTTACGTGTCGCTTGACCTTCTTAGTTACACTTTCACAACAGAACACCAATGACAATTCCAAATACAAAGCAGGAACCACGTTTGCAAAATATTTAAAAACAAAGAATATTTAAACGAATAATTGTTTTCGATAACGTCATCATCAGGCTCTACAGTCATAAGTCCATAATTATTGTGATATTTTACAAAGGTCAAAATAAGTCAGGCATTAATGAATTCGGCAATGTTATATGTCAAAAAGGGCGAACCTTTGCATCTATTATAGTATAAAGACTCCAAAATTGTGTTATTTGTAAATTAGTAGGTCATTTAATAAGGGTCAGAATGATTTGCAGTAAAGTGTCAAGTCACGATCAATATAATATAACGAAATAAAAAATCGTGTGAATAAAATGCATAGTATAAGAATTTAGTTTTGTTACTCGAGGTAGTAATAATAATATGAACATTATGTGAATATAATTTGTAATAAGAGAGGTGTTATCAAGGCAGTTGCAATGAAAAGGAATTCGTATGAATTGGGACAAATGATTGTGAAGTTTATGAAAGATGTAAACACGAAAGGAAGTGGGAAGAGGAATAAGAGGTTAATAATATCCAATATAGGTATCCGGTGATCCAGTCGCGGAGCAAAGTAAACATAGATGCTTGATATACTCCTGTACACATAAGTTCAGTTTTTTGGAGTTGATCCACATGGATTCAGCGATGTAGAGTAGCCGTTATCTAGCTCTTTTAGGTAGATTATTTGGAACTTCGTATAAAAAAAGAGAAAGCTCCATCTATTTTGATATGATGCTTACCGTCCACCAAGTGAGAAAGAATGGCGCTGTTAATCGATGTAGATTACATGTAACTTGGCAGCGTGAAACGTCCTATCAGCAGATCTTTTGAGTTGACGTGTTAAAATATCACCCGCTATGTCCCATTTAAAGCTCACTTTCAGATAATGGAGGTTTTTACTGGCCGTGTAAGTTAGCTCTTTTTTCATTACCTCTAATGGAAAATTCCTAACGTAATTACCTGGATAGTTGTTGTCCCGTAGTGTGTTCTTTAGATTATCTACTTCGTTATCTACACTATCTTCAGAGAATAGTAGTTTAATTCTGTGGTTGAGACATTTAGCCAAATTTATTTTGTATTAAAGAGCTGTAAAGCTATGAAAATGGATATACTGACCTGTTCATGTATTATTTCCAAATACATTACTTCCCATGGAACCGTCTATCCTTCTAAAAAGTAGGACATCGTTCTCTTCCTGGTGAATTTATTAACTGAAACGACGTTATTGAAACAGTTCTTATTTGTCACTACTTTCGTAGCTACCTCTCTTATTACAAATCATATTCACATAATGTTCATATTATTATTACTACCTCGAGTAACAAAACTAAATTCTTATACTATGCATTTTATTCACACGATTTTTTATTTCGTTATATTATATTGATCGTGACTTGACACTTTACTGCAAATCATTCTGACCCTTATTAAATGACCTACTAATTTACAAATAACACAATTTTGGAGTCTTTATACTATAATAGATGCAAAGGTTCGCCCTTTTTGACATATAACATTGCCGAATTCATTAATGCCTGACTTATTTTGACCTTTGTAAAATATCACAATAATTATGGACTTATGACTGTAGAGCCTGATGATGACGTTATCGAAAACAATTGTTCGCTCAAATATTTTCCATTTTTGAATAAACTATTTGTGAATGGTAGAAATAAGTTAATTAGATAATGGTTTGATGTAATACTATATAACACATACGTATAGTAGTATATTATTGTCAGTAATGTGTGGCGCATATATATTTGGTGACCTCTTGTACCAATATTTGTGCTCAAATAAATAAATAAAAATTGTCAGTAATAAGTAGTATTTCGAAAAATTTCATTTAAAACGATATATATATATATATATATATATATATATATATATATATATATATATATATATATATGGCATGTAGGTCATTTCATGTGACAAGATTTATAACAATGTCATGTGTTGTGAAATGTACATGTTGTTCAAAAGATTTTCATGTATGAAAGAAACACAATTGACTCAATATCATTCTGGCTAACCGACGCGTCTTTAGATTTCGGTATTTTGTCAGGTTTTGTTGCAAGCACTGGAAGCGACTTCATTTGTCGTGTAGGTTTAGGAAGGAAATTTGAATATATAGTTCCTACCGTCAATATGCAGATCAACAAAGAAAGTAGATGTTACTTTATCAATTTCAATAGTGTTAGTCTTACCTTGCTTGTTAACGGTAATGAGTTAATTGCTTTTCCTTACAACTTCGTAGCCCATTGTACACTATTTGTGAAGGGAACGGGATGTTGTTCATTTTCACGAAAAGACGTACGTGATCAACCAGTTGTTGAACGCGTGTTCATCATTGTCATACAACACGTGATTTCTTCAGTTCACTCATAAGTTATATAGGGCATTACACATAACTAACTATACCAAGTGGAACACTTATGTAAGGTAGAGAACTTTTCAGATAACCTTAAATTAGTTATATAAACCAACTCAGCTGCTCAACATCCAGTATGTACATTGGTCTATGAGAGAAAAGAAATTAAACTCATTTGATAGAGATGGTGTATATTTTCGAAGTTAGTGCTGAGGTTACGAAAACGACTGAGTGAAGAATTGGTATGGTGATTAATTCTAACTAAGTATTTGACTGCTAGAAAAAATTGACAATTCCTTTTAAAGGTATAGTGTTACATCTGTATGGGGTTTAACCTCGAGGAAGCCAAACGGTTGACATTTTCTATTTGTTTGATGTGGTATTGGAGCTTTTATAACTATATCAGAGGTATCCTTTGTGTGTTCTGAAAAGTGCTGGTTAGTTCTATTCAATGGTGCCTGATTCTTTAGAAGATTCTAAGTGATTTTAAGCCAATGGATGATTTTAGCTGAAAAGTGTAGAACAGTTACGCCGCCGAGAATGAAGTGGTAATAAAAATGGGCGAGTCTTAAGAAACGCTAGCTATTTCGATGAGTTAGGGTGTACGTAATCGTGAGCACCAAATTTTTTAGCCCAAATCATTCCACTATTTGTATAACTAGTATAACATTAGTATCTTTCACCACTTCCTCAACAGGTAGAAAAAACAAGCTATCGAGGTCATATGAGTGAATTCCAGCTACGTGGGCTAACCCTCAACAGTAAGAGAAAACAAAGCTACTTTATTACAGTCACTAAAAAATTTCATTCAAAGCCCCGAGGAAAGGTGCTGAAATAGAGCATTTGTTTCGATGCCTCATATAAGGACGCTTGGATGATTCTATGAAACTTACAACGGTGAACAATAATAACTCCGGATGTTAAAGGTGAGTGGAGTGGCATGAAGTTATTCAGTGGTTTTTAAAAATAATTTTTCGCAACACGTACTAACCATTCAACGTTTACTTGATTAGTAAATTTACAGTTAAAAATGAGATGTAAAAAAAGGTGACACTCACAAGGTCTGAACCACCAATGCCAATATTAACAACATCTGTTATTTGCTTCCCTGTGTAGCCTTTCCATTCACCAGATCTAACAGAATCGCAAAACTTAGACATGTGTTCAAGAACTGCGTTAACTCCCGGCATAACCTAGTTAAATGGTAAAATAAAAGAGGCAGTTACATTTTTCCCATCGACCATAATCGGGACATTTGATCGGTTTCGCAATGCTATATGCAGGACGGCTCTATCTTCCGTGAAATTAATTTTTCTTCCTTCCATCATATCATCACGCATTTTTTCAACATTACTATCTCTAGCCTAAAATGTTATTAAGAAAAATATATGGATAAACCAATTTGATAAGCTGGTCAAAACTCTGAGTGTCAATTAGGTTTTTTGAGTAGTCCAAGAGAATAGTACCGCCAGGAAGACTCAAAACCTGACTGGAATTGAAACAATGAGAATACATATAGAAGTAACCTGAATTCTGAAAATCTTTTAGGATTAGCAGCAAACATTTCTCTCATGGTTTGCGGAACTTTTTTGAAGTTCCGAACAAAATCATGTAACGCCGACATCGCAATTATGAAGAGGTTACGTGACCTAGCCGACAAAGTACCGCAGCTATTGAAAAAGGTGCAACGGATTCAGGAAAAGATCTAGGAAAACGTAACGCTAATAGTAATATATTGAAATAGATATCAATGATGTGAATCAAAAAGGTTATGTATGAACATACAGGATCTAAAAATGGCTTTCACAACAAAATCGCATATTGACTAATAAAATAACGGCAATCCAAATTTCTCAATTTCGGGGCAAATTTTTATTAGTTTTGTGGAAATTTCTGGGAATCTGAAACAGTTACTTCTTGGTTTATACGACAAAAACCCAAGAATTTGCTGGTCAGAGGTTCTTCCTCAAAATTCTAAGTCATTTTGGGACATCATCAAATCATTCGGATTAAATCCCAAAGTTCCCCAAAAGCTTCACGGAATTTTCCGGGAATCCGGAGGTAGGGATAAATTTTACTTAAAAGCGCTCTTTGAAACAACCGTCAGAAGTGAAATTCACTTTTTGGTTGGCCCTGACGGCAAGAATCGAAATATAAATCCGTTAGCGTCACTGAACAACTAACCAGGCCAATGGTCCCATTCTGTAAAGAGCAGCGTAACAGGAGTTTAAAACATCATTGCAATTTTCGAATGGCATACAATGGCAACCAAATCACAAGTAAATGACGTATATTAGATTTATTTTAGAACCTAAGGTTACGTGTGCATGGATTAAGCATGTAACTTTGTCCATTCATACATAATATAAATAAGCAGTAGATACCGAATGTCAATGTGATCACACATAAAGAGCCGCGAAGAAAGAAAAGACACTCCCTTATTTGTGGTTACGAATATTATTCAATATTCATGTTATTCTATAACTTCTACCTTAAAACATATGGATGCTGAAGTAAACCCAACGCAAATTCTAAGAGATCATAAGGCTAAAATTTCGGATGTCCCACCGAGTCATACATTATTCGTGCAAAGACGTGTTGACGGACATTATACTCCAGTGCACTATTGTAATTCCGTTTTTGTCACAAAAGTGACAGATTCACGTTCACAACATACTGATAGTTTAGTGAACATTACAAAAAAAGAAGTATTGAAATCGATGGTTTTCGACTTTTTTGTAAGAAGAAGCTATGGGCGATCCAGAAGGCGGATGGTAGAACAAACGCTCTCAGAGCCACCGTATATCACAAAATCTATTTGAGAGTACTACCGCCGATACCGAAACAAAGCAAAAAATGTCTGATAACTAGCAAACTTTCTTAAGACATTTTTGGTGTCAAAATATTGTAGGACCAGACAGTAGTGGCAACAACCAATACTGGCCGATCTTTCAGTAGCTTTTCGCACCTACTGGATAAGACTTCAAATTACGATTTTCTTGCATATACAGGAGACAAAGCGTAATTTCCGCGACTGGGATTAGTGGGGTGAACTTCGCAACGCAACCATGTAAACTTAATGTATCGCCCAGGGTCATCTGTGCGTTCAAGTAACCACAGATTTCGTCATTCCATAATGTATTTTTAATTAAATAACTAAATTATGTAGTTAATTTTGCTCTATTTCTAATTTTTATTCGCCACGTCCGACTGCGTCACACTGTACGTCCATTGCACGCTGGGATGATATCTCAAGTCGTAGTGAGTTCATTCACATAGTTGATTGTTTCCAGATAGACTGTCAGTGCATGATTTTACTGAAGAAACGTTTGTTGTACCGTAAACTATGTTTTTATGAACAACTGCCTGTTGTCATCAGTATGAAAGCAGTTTATATGTACCCTTCGTTTTCTTAGGTAAGTTTGACTGGCCTATATTTCGTGTTTTGGTTCTATCGGCTGAATTTTGTTCATTTTACTCCGTTTAGTAACATGTCTGTGCAAATGGAACAATAATTATGAAACTTGCTCAGTTTAGTATTCTTGGTTGTCGTAAAATTCAGTTTAGTTGAAAGAATTATGGTATTCTTAAGTATAGTGCTTAAAGCCTGTGACGAAACGGATCAGTTTAGTAAGTAGGGCTGCCTGTTTTTTATGAATATACTGATTCAAGTCAGTCGATTAAAAATAGGAAAAAAATGCCTTTGGTACTGTTGCTGTTATGCATTATTGGATAGCGTAGATCACCAACGTAGATGATCTATGTCGAAATGGTTGGAGGCCTACTCGAGTTACACGTGAATGGTGTGACGAACCAACTAACGTCGAAGTCACTCCTCGTGGTCAGCACCTTACGTGGACTACCCCCATTGACGTATCAAGGTACTATAGACGCTTTGAAGACTGTACAACACAAAGGACGTTATTACAGAAATATATTAGTTAAAGTAGATACGAGCGAAAGTAAGACCACTGCCGCATGGGCCAGTCCATGGCATACGATTAACTAATGGCCCTACAATAACTTTTAGTACGTTTGGTGTTTATTTGTAGACAGTACGTCTAACACTGTTCATGTTTCAAGACCGCTGTCATTAAACAATTTCCCCGGCAATAACATCGGTAGCAGGATAGCTAAGTGTCTGAGCTTTTATTCGCCTGCAAAACAGCAGTATACAGTCTTGGATGAGGAGTGTTCTGTCTTAATTAAATGCTGCTGGGTGTGGACAAATGTTAAGAGTCTTTTTGACAACTGGAGCTTTTAGTTTACCAGATACTAAATCAACTTGTATATCTTCCTGTAAAACCAGACGCAGATGCATGGGAATACTTAAGTGGGAGCAAAATAATAAAAGCTGTGCGATGCTGTACTTTGCACAAGTTTTAGTAGCTGGCGTGATCTGATATTTATGAAGTCGAGATAAATCACAGCTGCATAAATTCTTTCCTTAGAAACATGTAATTTGTTTATTTACCTTTTCAACATTCTTGACTAAATCCATTACCATCTTTTATTTAGAATGTAACAGGAATGAGCCATCACAGATCTTACAAAGTCATTCAGCTTTATAACTATGGCCCTATGAAACTTTATGGGTGACCCAAGTAACAGCAGATTATTAAAAGCCTATCGGACGTTCACTTCAATCTCATAACCACTTTCAGTGTCTTGGAGTTACTTCTTATACCCTGTCATTTGAAAAGAAACAACTACTGCAGCTTCACTTTACCAATGCTACAATGTAATTTGGAACCTGGTGTAAATATTTGTTTCATATTCCATTGTTAATTAAAGTTCGTGAATAAATTTATAGACTTGATGCTATTTCGTTTTATCTAGCTAATCGTTGCAAGAAACTGGTGAAACGCGAGCCTGTCACCACCTAGTTGATATGTAGTAATTTCAAGTTAAGACAGTTGACTCAGTCACACATCCCAACAGTCGCTGCTTGTAACCTTAGTTTCTGATTGAAATACCATATGATAAGCAAGCAACGGGAAACCCTTAAGTCCGGGCCTCCTTAACCTATTTCAGCCACCATGATGTGTTGCAGTAGTACGTTGATAGGTACGCGTTTAAGACATAGTTGTTCATTGGGATGCCGTCGGACTTCCAATCAATACCTTAGCTACACTGACGGGTCACCAGTATCGTGAGGGTACGCGCTAGTCAAAACACAACTACAGGCCCACTCAATTTTTTCACCCCCTTATACGAAATATAGCAAGAAACTATGTATTTAGTGAATACAAGACTTTTATTTAATAAGGTATCAACAAAACTGGCAACGCAGCAGATGCACATGACGAGATTTGTGTTCATTGATTATCTGAAATAGAGAGTACGAGTATTAGCTTAATAGATGCATTTATAAATACCTAGATTTTCGTTTCCAAAGAACCAGTAGACTTACCATGTTCGGAAACTGTAGCCAGACGTGTTAGGATGTACAGAAAAATATACCAATAATTATCATGTTACGTCTAATGGTGGCCTTGGACTTTAAATGTACACTCCCTATTGGTCGATATTTATTTCACGTGTTAAATATTGTAAAAATGTTGTTTTCTATTTTATGGTACGATGTGGTTTGTTTGGTTGGTATATAAACAGAGTATGTCTGAAATATAATGATTCATATCTCAGAGGCTAGGACTTGCGTTCTGGACTCAACTGGCTGGGATAGACAGCGAAGCAGAGCCGATCAGAACTCTAGGCGGATCTTACGTGTTTTTCATGTCACTAATCCGATCGATAAAACGCTTCACTCTAATCTGCAGTCCTCACGTTACAACAAGACGCCTCATGCGTATTAATTCATCAATTTGATCTACCAATTGCCTTAGTGTGTCCTGCGCCGTCGTCTGTCCGAAAAGTGTACTGAGTGTGTGGATTTTACTGCGTAGAGTGCGAAAAGTCTGTCCGTTTCATTATAACATGGAGACGGAATAGCTGGTATATTTCCATCTACATCTTGGACAGCCTGCCAAGTCCATCTGCAACAGAGCTTCAAAACTAAATCAACTACTTCATGATACAAAGATGAACATAACATACCTGTGAACTCTGGCATTTGCAGATGAGTGAAAACCATGTGCTTACATGGAATTCGACAGGTTTTAAATAAACGGCAGGTGCAAGTGCCGTTGCTTATATCCACTACCGGACATTGATGGCCGTCTACGAAGAACACAAAGGGTGACTGGCTATTCTTGATGTACATCAGTCCCCTTTTTTATATTCTTTAAGGACTATTAAGCCAGGATAGGTGATTAGCTTGCTTAGTAGAGGCATTAAGCAATCTTCAGCTACGTAGCTGCGTTTGTGACTACAGTGCAAGCTGGATTGTAGTGACATACGTTTGCCTAATTGCCTTTGCCATGTAAATGTCTTCCACATACATTTACTCAACGCGTCTCGGTTAGACAACTTTCTCTTCAGTTGTCTGTGCGCACTTTCAACCCGGTTGTTCGTGTTGTTACCCAACGTAACGACATTGCTATTGAAAGCTGCGGCCCAAGTTTCTTTCCTACTCATCCAGTTCTTGTTTAAGTAGGCTGCGATGCGTCTGCTGCGTACACTGATTATGAGTCGTGTCTAATTAAACTTAGCTACTGTTTGTTCACGCACCAGTTGACATAAGTACTGCTTGATTATCGGATTGCGGGTTTTCTTACACATAGCTCTGCACACGTGGAAAGAGCATAGAGCTATGTGGGCAGTACGGTGCGTTAATTGAACAGCGGATATGATGGATCTTGCACAATCCGTCACAAACGTTTGCGTTTGACTGGTTCCATTCATGATCTTTTTAAAATGATCCAGTATTCATACTACATCAACCTTCTTCTCTTCCTTGGTCCAAGCAAACATAACTGGGACTCCATGCCCGTAGTTATCTGTACAAACCAACTGAAAGAGTTTATAACTAAAGACAATTAGTATGCAGGAAAATTTTACTTACTTTCCCCTGTTCGTGTTGTATGTTGAATCCAAACACACAATTCAGGGAACCGTTTGTACGTTACAATTTGCTTGTGTGTGCTAAATGCTATCTTTGTGACCTGGTTAGCCACACCCCCACAAGAAACGAACAATTTTCCATTGTTCCATAAGGTTGCAATTACATCGTTTAAACTTCCACAACCTAAGAAATCGTAGATATATGGGATAAGCTTACGTTCGACAAATTTATATTTTAAATTATTGACATAATGCACTGTTATTGTCTTTTCGAAATTTTCTTCTGCATACTTAACAATAGATTCAGCACTACTTCCAGTCCTAACCATCGGTAGAACAACCTTCAACTGATCTTCACTTAGTCTTCTGAACGAAGGATCATTCTTCAAGCACTTCTCATCACAAGGATGGTTATGTATCATCCTCGACGACGATATGACGAACCAGTTCACAGCATACAGTAAACGAAACATGGCCTTGCAACCACCGAACTTTGATCTATGAAAATTGAAAACAATAATAATCATTTATCCTTTTACTCTCTGACCATAGCCCTCCGGCTTCTTTTTATGGCCAAAAGAACATACATACACTACATACTCACAGCGAATTTCGGGCTTTTCTATGTTCAGCCTGCTTTCACGTACAACATAATGAGTCCAAGTCATCTACTACTTTTTAGATGGTGTATTACCAGTAACAAACCTTTTGCAACAGATTGATAGCTTCTCTAACTTGGTCCCAGCTTGTCAGGTGCCTGGGTCTCATAATCATTTCGAAGACATCAATGGTATCCACAGCCACTGGACGCTCAGTATTAGTTTGACTGGTTGATGGAGTAGCGCGATCCATAATACCGCGGAAAATAATAAATCTTTTATTCTGCCTGATAACAATAAATAACAGTTAGGAACGAATATGCGGCCAGTTACGGCCACATGCGGCAGCAACAATTATTTTAGCTAAAGGAAACTAACTTCTGTTTTCCATATCTAAAAAACAATGCTTAAAATATAACGGATTAAGACTTTATGACATAAAAAACGAGCTTGCCTGCCAGTTAGGAACGATTATGCCGACATTTCGAGTTCCATACAGCCGCAGCACTTATTTAAGCTAACAAAACTAACCTTGGCTCCCGATATCTGAAAAAAAGAACTCAGAACAAAACGCATTAACATTTTATAACACAAGACTAGCCAGAATGCCTGAAGAAATACATTGACTTGAGTAGAAGTAGCAAAAACCCAGAAAATTAGCTGATTCGAAGTAAATTTCACACCAACATATAGAGCATTACACTAACTGTGGCACTTTAGCACACCGAAACATTAAATTACATAGCTACACAAAAGAAATAGCTGAAAGAAGCACAGAACGAAGAAAGCCGACCGCCATTGCTTACAAAGATGGCGGATGTAATAATTCCCGCCTCACTCTGATTGGTTGCTAATCTGAAGGGCACATTTACGAAATTGAGTTGCGTTTAATTGCAGCCGATTAGTGAGATTTTGCTGAGTGCCGTTATCAAAACCAAAAGCATGACATTCTTGGAGCAACTGCTTGTTTCAAATCTGGAAATCAGACGTTGACTAAGCTGGGTGTTTATAGTAGCGGATGTTCGATACCCTACACAGATTTTTCGAGTACACATGATAAGCTTGTCGTAGTTAACAGAAGCCAGCTCATTAGTTGTCGTCCATAGCTACAGGTTTGATGGATTTGTTCGAACTACCAGGTTCATAGTGTCAATATAAACGCACCGATAAATGATGACTTTACCTCTTTCGCCTGGCAATACCTCGAAATTGCAAACCACTTGCCGCGAAGACGAAGTTAAGGACTCAACAGCAATCTATATTATACAGTAAGGACAGCCAATGAGACACAGTCACGGATGTTTGAGCCTGGCAGATTAGCTACAGTAAATACAGGATTTCAGCTAATGATTTAACTGGGACTGACTTCGCAATCAGACAGCTCTTTGGCACCTCCGATGTGCATACTAGTAGAGAAGGCTGGAGGCTGATGTCTTTGTGTTGATTAAGGGAGTCCGGACAACCTGATTATACTGAAGAGATATCCCCTCCCACAAATGAACAGTTTTTGTTGTGGTTTTGCATTTACGTGGAATTGGGTTTTCGAATGTATGATAAGTACAATCGAGCAGTGAAGTGATGAATGGATTGGTGAATAGTATTTATCGTTGCACTGCAATTTATGGTAATTATGAAGTGCGAGGTCAATATACGTTTTCATCGGTATTATAACCAGATCCACTGATTCATCACTTAAAATGTAGTGTTACAATGACCAAAGGAAATGAGTAGTCACTATGAAGACGTGATATGTGGAATCTTGCTTATTTATGGTCACGAAGCTCAACGACCTCGTTTGTTGAGTAGTCCAACTAAGACATGAAATTACCAACAAGTACCATCATGTATGATGAACGAGTGAAATCCTCTTTGTTATGACGTACATGACAGTACCATTGAGAGAACAGCTCTATAATCTTTGTTCCACTTTGCAATGAAATGAAGATGCATAACAATCGCAGTAATCGAGTGATATTTAAGAGCAATGTAGGTAGCATGCTGTTATATATATGAAGACAAACCGATAAGATGCACATATTCATTATCAATTGACTGCAAAGTAGATAACATTTCCAATCATCTACATTGATACTGACCCTTTGAATTTCCTTGAAGACACTAATACTCGAAGGCGCTTGTTAAGACATCAACAACAAGACACGTTACATTACAGTGTGCGAAGCATTCCTTCCAGCAACTAGCCAGCTTAGTGGTTATACATTGCGACGTATCAGCTTTTTATCCAGACGTATCTTCTTCTCGCGTCATCCTCGGTTTCTGGTTCCATTGCCTTTCAAAAGAAGAGACCTCGACATCACTAGTATCAAGTCCTTCACATTCGACATTTATTCGAGGATTATTGTAGAGTCAGTATGTAGTAGAGTATCGAATGCTCTAGCTAGTTGGTGCATGTATAAAAAAATCTTAGTTCCAGTAGATTGGTCAGTTATCCTATATTTAAAGAACAGAACTATGTACGCCTTAATTTTCCTGAATGTATGCAGATGTTCGTTTTGTCGACGAACGCCTCATATTTGTAATCTGTTGGATTTTTCACAATCCTTGAACCTAATGAGTATAATGCTGCTGATCTTTGTATATTCAATCTTTTCTATTCTAGAGACCAGCTTATACGTTGGTACTCACTTAGACACTTTTGAAGTCTTTTTAGAATATTAGCACTATATGTATGTCATTAACAACAAATATGAAGATTTCTTCGGCGGTAACGACGATTTAACACAGTTATCGTACGTCTTCAACTTCGGATGGGGAAGGCATGATACACAAATATAGAGCAAGATCAATCTTACTGGTGCGTTTTGGAATATAAGCGATGCATGCTTGAAGCCATTGGGTTGGAAGAAACCTATGATAGACCTATCACTCGATGGTTTTTATTTCGATAACGTAGATCTTTTCTAACTATATGAACGATAGTAACTTTGTTTTGGGACCAGGACCCAAGTATTCCTAAAAAGCACTACATTTTGGCACTCTGGGTCTAATGTCTTGTGACCTGCTGTGGTAGAATAAAATGGCTCAAAAACGTATAGTGAAACTGATAAAATTATTGCTTTTTGTTATGTCCTTTGGTCTGTCTACCCATTTTTGGTGCTGAAAGTGCTTATCTAATACAGATTAAGACCTTGGCGCGATTGGAACACCGACCTAACCTTGAGGCTAGTACGGGTGAGTTCGAAGTGGGGTAGAGAGAAGAAAACTATTCTATCACCTGATTGGCTGACAAGCACGCGAATGAGAGAAGACAAGACAACTAGAACACTACTCGACCTATTCGTGATATCCTGATTTCCTCTGATTTCTCAGTGCAAAAAGGTCCATGAATAAATAGGTAACTAACCTGATCTCTACGTACAATAATTAGGAAAAATACAATTATATCCAAAGCCGGGAATTAGCGTAGAAAATAGGGTGCAAAATATTATGTTTAAATTACACTAGCTTCGGAACAGAAAAAGGTATGGGAATGATTCATACATCGAACGAAAGCTTATGTTCTGTAGAATAGATTAGGAACAAAAATAAATGTGAGTGTTTTACAAGCTTTGCATAAAGTGGAATAATGTCCTGAAAATAGCTTTCGTAGTTTGACAGGGCTTCCTGTTTCCCTGTTAACATCATCTTCCGTCTTGACAAAATAGTTAAAACTGCCACCCAACTGAGTGTATAAATAAGTGAAACTGGTTGACGTTGTGATCCTTGTAAAGCGTAACTAAAAAATGAAAAATGCTTAGTCACTGGGTACAAGTAATAGCTAAGATATCGTCATTGATATCTTCCCTCAGAAACATATACTCTTCTCTTTGGGTCCACTTGCAGAATAACTGGTCTTCTATGTTTCCGTAATGATCTCCTAATAAGATTTTGTTCGGGTTGCACAGTCTTCGGAGTCGCTGAACTTTGTATATCGAAACTCTCCAAAAAGATTTTCCACATTGAGCCCAGGTTCCCAGTTATCTGAAGTTCCAGCATTTTCCAGTATGTGGTTGACATGATGTGTCCACTTTTGGCCTTCAACTTCCACCACATACATTACATTCCCTCGCCTCTGAGGTATGCGTCCACTGGTCCATTGCGGAGGTGAGTATCAGAAATCACGGACGTATACGTTTCGACTATTTTGAAAGATTCTACGTCTCGCCCAATGATGGCGATTAAATTGGATTTCCATCCTTCCGTTTCTCCTTGCTATGTCATTTTGCTCTGGTTCTATAGCATCTAGAGCAGTTTTAACTTTACCACCAAACATAATTTCTGCTGGAGACACTTGCTTTCCCTCCTCTTTTGCCTGAACTTATAGAGGGAACATTTAATGTGGTCACAAAACAACTAAGTCTGATCCAGATTGATGGAATAATTACTAATTTTGAAACAAGCTTTACTTGATGCTTGTTTGAAACTGGGGCTACGACCAATTTTGCTGCAAAAATCAGTTTTGAAATCTAGATCTGCTGGCCATCAAACCCTAGTTAAGGTTAACCCATATGGAATTCAAACTAGGGTTTGGATTGAAGAATAACTACCTAGGTAGTTTAGATACGCGCTATTTCCCAGTCGAAATGAAAACAAGGCGACTGGGTTTTCATTATAAATATAAATGTACATTATTACCTAAACAAATATTACCACCCACTTATTCAACCAGTAGTTGTCCGGCCAGTTGTAGTGTGGCGTCGAGTTGCAGTTGACTATGACCACCACTGCAGGAAGAATAGTTGCCAGTTAACCGATAAGATCCCCTGTAGGCCAAATATCAGAAGGCAGTTGATGGCTGTAGTCGAGATGTATTTGTTGGCGATCTCGTGGTATCGAAAGAATACCGAGGTCGTACCAGGTTACAAGTGGGGTTACTGAGCGTAACCGAATTCGTGCAATGTCATAATGTATGTATGTTCTTAGTACCG